ATGATGCATTTACTAAAATTGGGTGGAACACTATGATTCTTATTACTCCAGAAGTGAGTTATTTTCATGTCTTTCTGCATTATTAATGTCTTCATCCAAGCTCTATTTCAATGACAATGTTGGATAATAGCTCTCATTTAAATATTTCTGTCTATTTTTTTCAGGATCATTCATCAGGGGAATATCTCCTGAATTAAAAGAAGAAATTATAAATTCTTTATTAAATAATAATAATAATAATATAAAATTATGCTTATAAGTCAAATTAACACTACAGGTATTAAAGCAACTTATAATAATAAAGAAATTATATTTGAATTCATCACAGATCCTCAGACTAGATTATTAAATGAAGTTAAGAATATAATGTTAAAAGAAAATCAAAGTAACTTTCTTCAAGAAGAATTAGTATTTGTTCAAATTGAAGAACAAATGATGAAAAAGAAAGACTTAATAAGTCAAATAGAAAGAAAAATTCAAAATCACTATATGTAGTGATGTCCCAAATGCTTTCTGGAATAGAAAACAACATATTGTTTCACTATCTTATATTGATAATTTTAATGAAAATGATATTCCCACAAAATCCAGACCATGTCAAATGAATAAGGAATACATTGAATTATGTAAAAAAAGGAATACATTCTCTTCTAGAGAAAAAACTATTAAGAAAATCTTATTCTCCTTGGACTTGTACTGCATTTTATGTAAACAAACATGTAGAGCAAGAGCGAGGAATTCCCCGCTTAGTTATAAATTATAAACCATTAAATAATGTTCTTAAATGGATTAGATATCCAATTCTAAATAAAAGAGATTTATTAAATCGTATTCATAATGCGAAAATATTCTCTAAATTTGATTTAAAATCATGATATTGGCAGATTCAGATGGAAGAAAAAGATAAATAAAAAACTGTCTTTGTTGTACCATTTGGGCATTATGAATGGAATGTAATGTCATTTAGACTTAAAAATGCCCCATCTGAATTTCAAAATATTATGAATGATATATTCATTCTTTATACTGATTTTATATTATCATATATAGATAATATTTTAATCTTTTCACAAACATTTGATCAACATGTGAAACATTTAGAGGTATTCTGTAATCTAGCATTACGAAATGGGTTAGCACTATATGCCCCAAAAATGAAACTATTCTATACCCAAATTAGAATTTTAGGTCACAATATAGAAAAATGAATAATAATTCCTATTAATAGAAGTATGAAATTTGTTTTAAATTTCCTGATTAAATAACTGATAATAAACAGTTACAAAGATTTTTAGGTGCTTTAAATTATGTTGCAGATTATTATAAGAATCTTGCATAAGATACGACTATACTATATAGCAGACTAAAGAAAAATGCTAAACCATGGACTGAACAACATACTGCTACAGTAAGAAAAATCAAAGCTAAGTTAAATGTTTACCATGCATACATCTAGCTAATGTGCATTGGTTTAAAATTGTAGAAATAGATGCATCCAATATTGGATATGGAGGTATTCTCAAACAAATAGAACCTCAAAATAATAAAGAACAGTTAAGATGCATCCAATATTGGATATGGAGGTATTCTCAAACAAATAGAACCTCAAAATAATAAAGAACAGTTAATCAGATTTACATCTGGCAAATGGAGGTATTCTCAAACAAATAGAACCTCAAAATAATAAAGAACAGTTAATCAGATTTACATCTGGCAAATGGAATAAAGCCCAATATAACTATTCTACAATTAAGAAAGAAATGCTTTATATTATCAAATGTTTATCTAAATTTCCGAAATGATATTCTGAATCAAGAATTCTTATTACGTGTTGATTGTAGTTCGGCTAAAAGCATCATTGAAAAAGATGTTAAAAATCTTATTTCTAAACAAATATTTGCTAGATGGCAAGCTAAATTAGCTATGTATAAATTTAAAAAATTGAATACATTAAGGGTGAACATAATCCTCTTCTTGACTTTTTACAGGGTTCCCATGAAACGGAATAATCCCTCCTTCTCAGGAACGGGAGAGGCAACCATACATCAGAAAGAAGTCATACTCCTATGCAATCAAATTCATGGCGCACAATAACAAAAAAGAATGGCGCACAATTACAAAAAAGAATAATGCAAGTAGTCTCTCTCAAGCCTTTTATAAAGGCATTAATGATATGATAAGGAAGATAATCCTGAACCATTTTCTTCTATAGTCAAAAAAGAAGTAGAATGGACTTCTAAAAAGATTTCTGATACAGTTCTATATTTAAAACAAGAAGATATTTCCCTGATGAATGATCCTGAAAAAATTAGACAGAAATATTTAAATGAGAGCTATTATCCAACCTTGTCATTGAAATCAAAAGCTTGGATGAAGACATTAATAATACAGAAAGGCATGGAAATAACTCACTTCTAGAGCAATGAGAATCATAGTGTTCCACCCAGTTTTAGTAAATACATCATTCAAGAAGTCATAAAACCAAGAGATTGGGCAATAAATCCCAATTAGGAACTACCATTGGTAAAATCCCAAAATACTAAAGAATTATACTATTTCAATTATTGGGATTATAAACAAGCATTTTATAATATATTTTTATATCAAAATTATAAAAATAAGCACACATGGTTAATAAAGCTCTGTCATGAAGCAATTTATAAAGGACTTCCTTCATGGTTTTTCTCACGATGGGAATCATATGATACTGAAATAAGCATACTTCCAGAACCTATTATGAAGTTATATTCTTCATGGATCGAATCTCATCCCATAATATCAAAGACGGATGACAATCAAATTATAGATGGTTTATGTACTATCTACTTCTTTGCAGAATCTGAAATACCATGGATATGGACATGGTCACTTGAAACAGATTGGATAGTATCTCATCTGCCTATATTAAAAAGAAAATTTTATTGCAAATGGTGGTCTGGAATTATTATTAAAGAAAAAAATTAAACAGATTGAAGAAATAATTCAGAGAAATAATATTGTTCTCGAAACCACCATGACTCAAGAGATTCAAAAAGAAAATCTTATGCTTAAAATAACAAAAATGATAAGGAAATATCCACAAGCTTCAGATTCAGAAATACAGCAAAAATGTTTAGGACATCTAAAAAAGCAGTTCTTTGAAGCTTTCGACAATATTAAAACAAAATCTAATAAGAGCATTGAATCTTCAGGGGAAGATACAAATCTTCCAAATGCTCATGACCCAGATGATGACATTGATACTATGTGGGAAATTGCTATGGGAGTATTGGATGATATCTAACCTATGGATATAAAAGGCAAAAGCAAGGCCTGAGAGCAATAGATATCTAAAACCTAGAGTCATACCCTTTAAAATAAATTATACTACAGTGCAATGTACCAATGTTTTATCATAAATGAGTTGAGCCTCAGGGAACCGCTCATTTCATTGATAATGACAAAAAAACATCATCATGAAGGGCACTTTACTTTTTAAAAGGAGATTCCTTACGCCTTTATTCCTTGCTACTACCGAAGTGCTGTCACTTTGTATAATTACAATAAAGTAGTTTTGTATTGTACGTGAAATTGATATTTGTAAGTTTATATAAGGAGACATAGAGGTCAGAAAGAGGCAGAGTTCTTTGGCAGAAGAAATCAAAGCGACCTCAGAGAGAGTTAAGTTTGTAAAATATAAGTGTGAGTATACTTTGTAAAATATTGTGGAGATCAATAAAGAAGTTATTGTGTGTGTGTGTGTGTATATGTGACCAGAGTACTTCTATTTGGAAGCCGTACCCATGCCTCACACATCCATACCCCAACTTCTTGGACGCTTCTTGAATATATGCATACTTTGCTCAAGCATATTGTCAATTATATACTACATGTTTTAATTTAAAATAAGCCACATACACTTCTCAGATGCATAATCTACACTGCCATCTATTTCTAATATATTGATCATATGTAAATGAAAACAACAATATTGATCTTATGTACATTATTAATTTTAATACATATAGGCTAAAATTACCATATTAGTATTAAAAGAAATACCACATGACCAACAAGGTATTAAAATTATCTCCGACGACAACAAGGTATTTAAACTTGCACGATGAGACAAATCGAACCAAAAATGAATTTTTCGGTCATTTTTCTAGCGACCACTCAAGTAATCTACCACATGTGTTTAAGTTGCATGTTTATGATGACGTGGCAATTATAATTAGCCTCATTCAACCTATTAGAATTAGTGATTTTTAAATTAGGATAAAAAAAGATGCATTTTTTAAAATTCGATACTCCTCCTTCCATCATATTGGTGGTTCTTCATTGCTTGAGCTCAAGGAATCCATGTTCTCAAGCAATGGAGAACCCTAACTTGATAGAAGAAGAAGAAGAAGCTCCCAAATTAAAAAAAAAACTCTCTTTGCTTTTACACTAATCTGAAAATATATCTCTCTAATGGTTCACATAAGCATCATGTGATAGATTATATGAGTTATCGCCAGAAAAATTAGCCGAAAAATTCATTTTTTGCGCCTATTTATCTCATCGTGCAAGTTTAAATACCTTATTGTTGCCGGAGATAATTGTAATACCAACTTACCAAGTTGGTCATTAGGTACTACTTTAGTACCAATCTGGTAATTTAGCCAATACATATAAATATACATGGAATACATATTTATGGCGGTGTCCCCGTACCCTACATTTTGCAAATTTGCCAAGTCTCTTACCCCGTACCTGCACCTGCACCCATATTTATACTCATACCCATGCAACTTAGATATGTATCACTTCTTTCTTGAAATACATTTGACTTTTTATCCCTTTTCCTTTTTTTCCTTTTTTTTAACGGAGATTGAAGCTTGCACAAGAAAATAATTCATCTAAGAGGTGAAAAAATCAAGACAAATCCACATGGTATCAAAAACATCAAAATAAAAAAGTAAAAAATGGTACTCTAAACAGTTGAACTGATTGGATACAGGCAAAGCTTATGGGCAAACCTGAAAATATTGATGATATGCCCCCAGTCATAGGCATATCCACAGCCAAGGAAAATGCTTTTTGTGCTGCCAACCTCTCCTCAGATCGGGTTGAACTATTAGTTTTGTTGCCATTGCTTGTGTTTGAAGTGCCAAGGCGCTTCCGAATGAGAGCCCATCTCTGGATAATTTTAACAACATATAGCTGCTATCATGATTACTCTAATACAATATTAACTTGCCAAAATAAGAAAAATGGTAAACAATAAATAACATTTCATATGTAGAACTGATTTTGCAAATGCTATTTATGTAGGGTCCTTACCACCAATATAATATTTCAACAGTTTTTTCTATGAGATGCAACTGTTTGACTTAAGGCAATAACTTTTTCCTCTTATATTGGCATTAGTTTTCTGTAAATTAATTATATGTGCTGTGGAAGCAAGGCCTAACCTTCCAGGATTAGAGGCCTTATGTGTGTAAAACTAAAATTATTTTATTCAAGTTTAGTCTTTCATAGTGGATAGATATGACAGAAAACCAAATGAAAGTCAAACTGAATAATCAAAATTGTGACAAGCACCTGAGAGAGCTGGGAAGCAGTCCTGTTGTGCTTGAAATCTCCCTTCAGAATGTTTGCCCAATTCCCTTCACCACATTTCTGTACAGCAGCTATTAGTTCCATATCTTCCTCTTTGGTCCACAACTGCCTTTTCTTTTTAGCAGGCAAACCTGAACTTCCTGCTCCATTTGCATCCAACCCCTCAACAGATGGTCCTATCGATAAAGATGATTTCTGGTTTGAAGCAGGAAGCACTGTGTGCCCTCCACTAGTTGAACCAGGCAATTTCTCCGAATGATCAAGCAATGCCTGTTCATTAGGTGTGTCTGCATTCGAAGAAGTTTCTGCAGCTGGACGAAGTGTAGAACCGCAGATAAGTGGAGAACCCGAAGAGAGTATGATCTGGCAAAAAAATCATCGTTAGTCAGACAGCTAAAATGCTCAAAAGAAAAATTATGGACACAAGCTACTTACTTTAACGGCAAGGATACAAGTATCCACTCCATGGTTTCCTTTATTTACTCTATAAGGAACCTAGAGCCTGAATTTTTTTTACTTTGTACAAACAGGAGCCAGACACAAGACTTTGTTAAGAGAAGCAATGGAAGGTTTCCTTTTCCAAGAAGATTAATTATCAGAGCTAAACAATACAAGCATTGCAGAATTTGTTAGCACAATTTTCCCTCCAGAGAAACTTGACCAGCTTGAAGCTAATCGGAAAAAGAATATATCAGATATTCCATCACGGTGAAGTTCCATACATCAAAGATAATGAAGGAATGACTTCATTTTGAAATTTTGCTAGACCAAGTTTTATGTAGAAGATGCAATTAAGCCTATTATATTGAGAGGACTTGAGTAAGGACAACAGCTCTGCCACTAACATCAGCAAGGGCCAGATTCCAACACGTGTTAGTATGTCCCAAGTTAAAAATTGCATCCACCAATCTTTTACTTTTAGTGATTAAGAATATGAACAGCTAATGTCCCTCATGATTTGCATAGAATAATAGGAACTGGTAAATTAAACCTCATGAGCACAGTAAGAACTCAAAAAACTTAGGAGTTTTATGTTTGCAATTGACAAATAAATTGAAAAGAATGGAGTGAAGAAAATCTTCAAAAGGCATCATTGGCAAGTGCATACTAATTTTGTTCTCAAGTGAAGGAATGCAGAAACAAATATATAGGCTGAAATTAAAATAACCAAAATATACAACCTTGTTTGCGAAGAATTTAAAATTGCAAAAAATTGAAAGTTAAAACATTATAAATCTAATAGTATTATAACAGTAGGTCCATCTAATAGCCATACAAACTTCGTGATAAGACATTGATTGCCGTACCTTCGCACATTCTTTAGCCTCTGCTAACTCTTCGGTACTGAGAGCAGGAACAGCTTCTAGTTCAAATTCCAAATCACTGTCATCATCCTGCAACAGTAACACAAATAAAGTTAGCTACAAGGTTAGGAAAAAGGAAGAAAGATATCAAAATGTGGATAACTTGACCTGTCTTCCAATGCTTGTTCACAAGAAAAGCATACCATTCAAAAATTAAGAAAAGTAAAAAATCAACACTATATACCATGAGAAGTCAGATTAAGAAAAGTAAGTTGTTGAAAGAGGTTTGTATATATAGAAAAGTTCTTTAATAAAATGTCCAAAACATTTATGTGGCACTTAGGGGTCCACCTAAGCGCCTAGGTGCTGGGCACGAGGTTTGGCACATAGAAGTGTAAGTGCTTCCTAAAACATTGACTAATGTCATTGTGCTTGATAGTGGTGTCCTGCAAAAGAATCCAATTAATGGAAGGCCAAGTGTCCAGACTGTGGGATATATTGGGATAATTGAAGGGGGGATAAGAAGGTTTGAAGATTGAAAAGGAGAGTAAGGTTGCAATCTAACAGAGGAGTTCCATTAGTCAAGGTCCTAAAGGATATTCTCTGGAGGGTTTCTTCAAGTCATATTATCATAATAGCAAAAATGATGGTGTCAGATTTACTTGTTCCAACAGGAATTGCAGCTAAGAATAGCTGATGCTGCCTATGGGTTATAAAAGCAGGTATGGATCTATCTACATGGAAGAAGGTTGACCTTAATTTATCGATATGAGGAAAACCTTTTCAGTTTAAAAAAAATTAAGTATGCAACATAATTGTCATAATAAATACGAGATGCATCTGACATTAAAGACATCAATTTGACTTCAAGTATGGAAGAGGTAAAAAGATAAATATAAACTACAGATAAACGTATGCTGCATATAGAACTGGAACTTAAACTGACCAAAGGCTCAGTTTCATCTTCTATTTTTTCCAACAAAGGGTTATGGTAGGCCAAATGACGCCAAAGCATTTGATACTCTCGAGCACTGGAGATCCCTGTGGAGGTAGTCTTAACAAGTGCATTCCAATCTATTTTCACACAATCAGAATGCTTAGTGGTATACTCAGACACCTCCTGAAGCAGAGAGAGAATTGCTGGAGCATTATACCTGGAAAAAGACATTTTAAAAACATATAGCAGAAAAGGCTCTAGGAACTGGTGCTGACACATTATTATGTTTAATGAATGTAAGGACATGAATCAAGTAAATGAACATGTGGCATAGACAGGCATAGCATTTGACAATGCAGCAGAAAATTCTAAGTGAAATACCATCTAGATGTCAGTCTTCCTGCAAGATATATCTGAAAGACAAAAGGAATGATATATTACACCATTCGTTTTTCCTATTTCTTTAGAATTATTTTCTAACTTCATAAATATATATAGTTTTTTTGGCTGTTTCAGACTTTTATAATCGAGATTGTCAATAAGTAAAGAACTTTGAGTTCTATTCTTGCATCTACAATCAGTAAATAGCCAGGTGATAAATTTAAGATTACTTTAATACTCAGAACAAACCTGAACTCAGTTATCAACTAGGTCACATTTGAACCAGCTGGTCAGGTAAAGAATTTTTCTTAAATAAATTGATTTAGACAAACTGGAACTTCATGATCATAGATAAGCGCATCCCACAGTAAATAGACAAAAAACTTGAATAACAGGTTATTTTGTATAAAAGAAAATCCTAAAACATTTACTACTTTCAGACTGAAGCTAAGAAGGTGTTTGTTTCCTTGGATTTCTTAGAAATCCATAGGAAATTTGGATCCAACCTGCTATTTTTGCCAAAACTGGCATCCCATTAGGTTCCCCTATTTGTTCTGATGAAAAAATAGTATAGGAGAAAGTAGTGGAATTTTCTGGCACGTCAGCAAAGTCAACTGCCAAAATTCTTCTCTCTAGCATAGAAATTTGCAATGAGAGTCAATAAAAAAATATTTGACAGCCCCACAATTTACTTTCTATTCCGCTTTCATACAAACCAGATAAAAAATAAGAATTTTGAAAAGCTTGGGATCCTTGGATTTACAATAATGTCAGACTTCCAAATGGAATTCATCAGGCCAAAGAATAGTGTTTGGATACCATGGCGTTTTTGCCGTTTTCGTTTTTTTTCAAAAAAACAATAAAACGCGTTTGGCAACCGGGGCGTTTTTTTGACTTGATCATTTACAAAATCCAAAAATTAAACACTTTTCTCAAAACACCAAAAATGTGTTTTAAGATTCCGTTTTTTCATCTAAGCCGCCGCCGCTCGCTTTCTAAGCGCCGCGCTCGCTTGCCCGCCGCCACCTTGCCGCCGGCCCACTGCCACCCCGCCGCCGGCCCCGCCGCCGCACCACGCCGCCGCCGGTGGGTGGCCGTCACGTGTCGCTGCCGCGAGTGGCGCCACCTTGCCACCGTCGGTGGGTGGCCGCCTCCCGCCGCCGCTGCCCGCCTCCCACGCGGCCGCACCGCCGCCACGCGTCGCCCGTCGGTCGTTCACCGCCGCCACCACGTTCGCCGCCGGCGGGTGGCCGCACCCGCCGCCCGCCGCGCGCGCCGTCGCTCGCCGCTGCCGCTCGCTAGCCCACCGACCTATCGCGGCCTGCCCGCCTCCCGCGCCCGCGACGCCACCGCGGCCCGCCCCGCCAGTCGCCGCACTTCTCGCCCCGCCGCGCGCCCCCGCTGCCGCCGCGCTCGGCCGCGCCCCAACCTCCACCGGCCGTCGCCGTCAGCCAGTCGCGCCCGCAACCTCCCACCCGGTCGTCGCCCGGTCAGCAGTCGCCCGCCCGCGACGGCGTCTGTCGTCGCCGTTACGCCGGCCCGCCGCGCGCGACTGCCCAAGTTGCCCGGCCGCCGCGGGCCCTTCGGTCCGCCCCGCCCTCCCGACCACCCGCCCGCCACCGCCGCTATATAATAGTAACTAACAATGGTGTTTTCAAAACACTTTTGAAAAAGAAACACATTGGCATGGTGTTTTTCTAAAAAACACTACAAAAAAATCGCATTGGTATCCAAACACACAAGTTATTGAATGGAGTGAGAGGTCATTTTCTCAATCCAATATATCTTCTTCTTTAAGGAAATGCTGAACATTGTGGTGAATGGGAATGAAAATTAGTACAAGAGCAAAAACCTTCTTTAAAAATGCACCTGTGTTAGGTAACACCTTCAATTAAACTAGTGATATATCTTTTATGTACAGTTGTTATCTGATGATCACCTATAGGGTACTTCTATCATGAAGTTGTATCCATGTCAGACTAAGAAACTTATTTTGACACTTCTTGGGTATTTCCATGAACTTATTTACATGCACCTTCAATTATATAAATAAATGTTTGACTTAGATATTGAACACATGAGACACTTTGCTTTTATGTATTTTTATTCACATTACATGTTTAAGATATATATCTACTATTGTCTATACAGAAAAGCTATAATGGAAAAATGTTTCAAAATATTGGCTTGTATAAAACTAGGTTTGGATATGCAGCATTTCATATAAAGGTAAAGGGCCAAGTCATATTCATTTTGCAAAGTCATGAAAGTTGTGCATGGTAGGTCAGAACTGCAGCATATATGTGATTATTTTATGTTTTGTAATATTAAAGATAATTGTTGATTTTCGGGTGTGAGAATATGTGTAATATGTGTAAGCATGCACGCAAATACCATCTATCTACTGTTATTATGTATATTTTAATCATATGTTGTAGTGCCACTGTGTCATTTTTTTAGAGAATTATTATGTCCTTCGGGCTGTACCCATGTCCCATCTGTTTGTGTACTACCCACGTCCCCATTTGTCCATGCTACTTGTGTGTCCTACCAGAACTTGCTAACTATGCATCGGGTTCACATTCTAAACTGCCACCTCAATTAACAGGCCATCACGTTAGATAACACTTCAGCGACAGGCTAAGATTTCAAGTAATGTCAGGCTAAGATTTCAAGTAATGTTCTTCGAACAAGTTTAACTGATTAAGTATCGCAAATGAAACCAAAGGTAATGCAAAGACTCGCGAACTTTTGTACATGACATTCAGAATATGCTCAGAACGTTAAAACAAACTGTCTTTCAAGAGCTGTCCTCTTTGTAGAATCAGATAAATAGGCCATGATAAGGCACAGAAATAACTACATCATAGAAGGAGATCAATGACAAACTTCTGATAACATCATCGCTATTGATAACTTGTTCAATAATACTATATTTCTGTACTCCTAGATTTACATTTTCCGATTAAAGAAGTAAAGCTTATTGAAGTCACTGCAACGATTTTCACAAAAACAACCCTGATCACAGTACCACAACACGTGTAATTTATGTACAAATTAACTGTCGAGTAAATGACCTTGCTAATAGCACCAATTGATGGTATTCCAGTTTCAATCAGATAAAATAATGTACTTAACTCAAGCAGCACGATGCAATTTAGTAAGCTCTTGCAAATTTCACATATAAACCCTAATGTACTGTCTCACAATAACAAACCAGCAACAAGGAGATAATTTTTTAGGCTAAATAGCACTTAAATACCTCATAGTAGAACTCATTTTCCGCTTATACACCCCAATTGCTTTCGTATCATTTATGTACCCTAAGTTATTTAAAATTGGCATGTTAGTACCCTCAATCACACAAACGTGAAAATTTTCACCCAAATGATCCTCTATGATACTTACACCCTAATTATAGAGCTTTTTAAGTATTAACATTTGTTAAATTTACTATTAAATCTACCAAAATTCTATTTTAATCTTGTCTTAATTACGTTTTAAATTAGAGTTAGGATAGATTTAATGATGAATTTAACCAATCTTAATGGTTAGAAAGCTAAATATTTAGCATGTGAGTATCATAGAGGAACATTCAGGTGATTATATTTACGTGTGCATGATAGAGGGTACCAACGTGCAGATTTTAAATAATTTATGGTATCAGAAAATGCTACGAAAAACAAGTGAGGGTATATAGGTGCAAAGTGAGCGAAATTATGAGGTATTTAAGTGCTACAGTTTTTAGGCTAACGTTTTACTCATTCCCATTTTTTCAGACTAATCTCAATAAAATTTTAAGTTATCAACATAATTTATCAATCCCTATAATCCAAATCGAAGCCAAAAAAGCCCCCCCCCCCCCACCCCATGCCCCCCCCCCCCTACCAAAATACTCTCCCCAACAATCATCCTCCCCCCACCCTTCCCCAACCCAACCCAAAAAAGCAAAGCCTTCAACAAAGGCTTCGCAGGCCAATGAATTAGCTCAAACCCTAAATTCAAAAACCCAAGAACCTTAACTTGAAATAGCTCCCAAAGAGGGGATTTTGAGAGAAAAGAAAAAGGAGGAACCTTTGAAGGAGCTCAGTGACATCTTCTTCGCTTCGCTTCCTCTTCTTCAACGCCTCCGTCATCTTTCAGAAATCGAATCGAAGAAAATTTGATCCGAATCGAGATTTTAGAGGAGAGGAGGAGAACTAAGGGGCCAAGAGGAGAGAAAAGGAGGGATTTCTAAGGGTAAAGCTCATAAGAGGAGTGACTGCGTTTCTCTCTTGCGGCTTTTTTAAATTTTAGGGTTTTATTTCTGGGGTCGTTACCCGCTTTTATTGAACCTAGAATGGGTTATTTTGTACTTAAGTACCCCAAAGTTTACTCTGCTTTAGCATTTGATTCCCCAAAGCCTTTTCCCCCACCCCCACCCCCCCGAAAAGTTACATGGAGTTCATCTCATTTTTAACTTTGATACTCACACTTTTCTTTTTCTCCTGAAAATTACCCAAAAGTTTAAGAAGTTTTAACTTTGCTACCTAAATTTTAACAAAAATTAACTTTACTATCAAACTTTAACAGAATGTTTAAGTTTCCATATTAAACCTAAAAAACTTTTCAGGCTATTAAAGTTAAATTTTATTTAAAATTTGGGCGCTTATTGGGCAAAATTAAACTTTGAGTGAGAGTTAAACTTTGTAGAGCTTTCGGTCTTTCTTTAGCCAAAACCAACTATATGGACCCAAGGTGAACAAGTTGGAAAACTTTAGGGTATTTATGTGCAAATTACCCTAGGATGAATTACAAATAACCTCCTCGTTTTCTTTAGTAGCTGTTGACATAAGGGTTATTTAGATTTTACTGCCTCAAATCTTCAATAGTTTCCTAGAAGTCTTTAAAATCTCAATAATTGCTCATTACTTCTCCAAATCCTAAGGGTCTTGCAATTTTGTCCCTCGATGATCAAAATACCCCTTAGTTATTATTTCTCTCTTAAAACCATCTTCTTCTTAAAATTAAAAAAAAGAGGGGGTTATTTCCACTTTGCTATTCTAAAATTTACATCTTTTTTACTTTAATATCGTAAAGTTTTTTGACACTTAGATACTCCAAAGTTTACATCTTTTTTAACTTTGATACCTTAAAGTTTTTTCTAAAACTTTTATTATGACAAAGTTTATACCTTTTCAAATTGTAATTCCAAAAATTTATTGTTGATACTTTGATACCCTAAACTTTGGGTATCAAAGTTAAAAAGATGTAAACTATAAGGTATCAAAGTTTTTAAAGAAATGGAACCTTTGGGGTATGAAATTTAAAAAATGTGGAACCTTTAGGTATCTAAGTGTCAAAAAAGTTTTTGGTATCAAAGTAAAAAAAATGCAAACATTGAGGTAGCGAAGTGTCAAAAAACTTTGGTCATCAAAATTTAAAAATGTGTAAGCTTTAGAGTGTCAAATTGTAAATAACCCTTCAAGCAAACATTCGCTAATGGTGTTTAGGCTACTAAGGGACCAAACCACAACAACAAATAGGATTTGGGGGACTAATGAGTAACTATATTGAGATTTGAGGTATTAATTTGGAATTATTGAAGATGTGAGGGTCTAATATCTCACTTTTTATAGGGTGAGAAGGATTAATGCTAATAGATTAGTTAATAGGTAAGTGTTACTGAAAATATATACAAGGCAGGTTATTTGAAATTTATCTTTTATTTTATATCCTATTGTGCCTCCGCTAATGATATGAGTCGCCGTGCGAGCATCTTTAATCGCGGAATTATCAAAGGCGGGTTGAGAAGAAAATAACAAGAACAATTCAGTGGTGGCGAAGGAAAATACTTTCTCTAGATTATGAGAATTAAATACTTTACAATCTCTCACAATCTCACTAGAATTGAAGAACAATCTCTCTCAATTCTCAAATACAATCTAATCTCTCTTGATTGCTTTTCTCTCTTCTTTCTTTAAAACCCTAAAACAATCCCTTATATAGGTGTAACAACGTGGATGGCAAAGTGGTAAATAACCAAGCCCAAACCCCATAGGAATTCGTGCAAACAGAAACCCAAACGAACCAGGAAATCATCGATGAGTCGACTCATGTGCATATATGAGTCGACTCATGATGCATGGGTCGACTCATGAAATGATGAGTCGATTGGTCAGAAACTTTTGACAAAACGGCTGCGTTTCGTGAGTCGACTCATGACAGGCATCAGTCGACTGGTCAGAAACTTTTGATAAAACGACTGTGTTTCGTGAGTTGACTCATGACAGACATGAGTCGACTCAACCTGATGAGTCGACTCATGTACATGTATGAGTCGACTCACGGGCTAAAAACTGGATACTTCTATTCTTCGATTCGCCGTCTCGTTCCACGCTTCAACCTGCGTTCCACTGTGTTGTTTTACACCTCTATTCTCATGTTACCATGAGAATCATTTATCCTCAATCTTCCATGAGGATCACTAAGTTTCGAAGAGAAGATACACTCGTATCAGCTAATAAGACAGTAATGCTATTGTACAATTTATTTTATTTTTATTTTTTTTAATCATAGCCAAATGTGCATACGATTTTCTTTGAAATATTTTGATAAATTTGACCATTTAAACTGCAAATTGTTTATTAATGAGAGATGACAAATATATTTTGTTCAAACTTCAAATCATGAAGTACAATACTAGCTAATGTTTGTTAGATCTATATTATAAAACTTGAGATCTAAAACCATATAGCCATGATTAATTCAAAGAGATTAACAAAATCTAAAGAGAGCGGAAGCTTATACCTGAATCCATTGCTTGATCTTGATTTTGGGTGTTGGATCTTCTAACCTTAGGGTTCTCTCTAAAACCGAATTTCTCTAGCTAGATGGGGGTGTAGAGAATTAGAGAATGTAACCCTAGGTTAGGGACCATAACCCCTTATTTATAGATGTTGTACTTTTGTAATTTAGCCCCTCAATAAATTATAATTACAACCTGGTATCTGCACATATAACCCCATGACTTATTTAAATACCAAATTAACCCAACTTAATTGATCACTTTAGTGGGTTATCCTGAAAGATAGCAATACACATTGATTAATCATATGTGCCCACAAATAGATTTATTAGATTAAATCCAACAATCTCCCACTTGGGCACCATATGATTCCTTAAACTGTGTATAACCTTATGAGCTCAAAAATTGCTATCACTGAAATGGTATTTCCGAACAATCTCGTCCATTGACTATATCAATATAGGATCAAAGCGGCCTTCGTCACATTTATCGTGACTCGACCCATCAATGGTCACATATATCAATACAATCAAATGACATAGATCAATCATGGATGTGCAGCATGAAAATTACATGCAATGTGATCAGTACATGTCTATTTTCAACTGGTCCTCCTTAGTGAGGTCAAAACCAAACATAATGTAACAGAGTGTCTTAACTGAAAACTTTATTCTGATCAGACAATACAAACAAACATAAAGCACCACAAATACAAACTCCCACTAAAACATAATATCCTCAAATAATACCACACCCATATGAGCAGTATGCTCATGAAAGACCTTAGGTGGTAATCCCTTAGTAAGAGGATCAGCTATCATGGAGTTTGTCCCAATGTGCTCTATGGATATCTGTCCACTCTGTACCCTTTCTTTCACAACCAGGAACTTAATGTCAATATGTTTTGACTTAGTTGAGCTCCTGTTGTTATTGGAATACATTACTGCAGATTTATTGTCACAATATAACCTTAGTGGTCTTTCAACATTTTCCAAAATGCGCAGTCCCGTGACAAAATTTCGCAGCCATATTCCCTGATTGGATGCCTCATAGCAAGCTACAAATTCTGCTGCCATAGTGGAGGAAGCTACTAGTGTTTGTTTGACACTTTTCCATGATATAGCTCCTCCTGCTAACATATAAATGTAGCCTGATGTAGACTTCCTGCTATCTTGGCATCCAGCAAAATCAGAGTCCGAATACCCAATGACCTCTAATTTCTCTGATTTTCTGTATGTGAGCATGTAATCTTTTGTTTTCTGAAGATACCTCATAACCCTTTTGACTGCTATCCAATGATCCATACCAGGGTTGCTTAAGTATCTGCCTAACATCCCAACAATGTACGCAATATCCGGACGCGTACATACCTGAGCATACATTAGACTTCCTACAGCCGAAGCATAAGGAATCTTCTGCATTTCCTGAATTTCAAGGTTACCTTTAGGGCACTGATTGAGACTAAACTTGTCTCCTTTAGCAACAGGGGTGTCACCTGGTCTGCAATCTTGCATGCCAAACCTTTTAAGTACCTTATCGATATAGCTCTTTTGTGATAATCCAAGAATACCCCGAGAGCGATCTCGATGTATCTGGATCCCTAATATAAAAGAGGCGTCCCCAAGATCTTTCATCTCAAAATTCTTTGATAGAAATCTCTTGGTTTCGTGCAACATGCCTATATCATTAGTGGCAAGCAAGATGTCATCCACATACAGAACCAGAAAAATATACTTACTCCCACTGAACTTGTGATATACACAGTCATCAACAATGTTCATCTCAAAACCGAACGAGATAACTATTTGTTGAAACTTATGATACCATTGACGAGGAGCTTGCTTGAGTCCATAGATGGATTTCCTTAATTTGCAAACCATATTCTTTGGGTCTCCTGACACAAAGTTTTCTGGTTGCACCATATAAATCATCTCATCAATGTCTCCATTGAGAAATGCAGTCTTAACATCCATCTGATGTAACTCAAGATCATAATGAGCAACAAGTGCCATGATTATTCTGAAAGAGTCTTTCGATGAAACCGGAGAGAAAGTCTCTGTATAATCAATGCCTTCCTTTTGAGTATAGCCTTTAGCCACAAGACGCGCCTTATACCTCTCCACATTACCGTTTGCATCCCGCTTGGTTTTAAAAATCCATTTACAACCAATTGGTTTTGCACCTTCTGGCAATGGGACAAGTTCCCAAACCTTATTGTCTTGCATAGACTTATACTCTTCATTCATGGCATCAATCCACTGTTGAGAGTTAGAACTTTTCATGGCCTGAGAGAAGTTGATTGGATCATCTTCTAACATTCCACTACTTTCCTCATGTTCTTGGAGAAATACAATATAATCATCCGGAATAGCATTTCTCCTTTCTCTCGTGGATCTCCTTAATGGCACTGGTTCTTGAGGTTGTTGAGTTTGTTCTTCTGGAACAGGGAGTTGTTCAACATTATCATCTTGAGGTTCCGGATTTAC